GAGAAGGGTGTTGCAGATTTGGTTTCATGAAACACATGCTTCATTTAGGATTTGTTAGAGATAGCTTTCTTACTAATTTTTAAAGCAGCTTTCTAGTACAAAAATTTTTAATTCAATAACCTTTTGTACTGAAAGTTGCATTAAAAAACAATGAGAAAGCTATCCCAAACAAAGTCTTATTCAAGAAAGTTTGACTTTATGGACCTCATAATGCCTTTAATTGAACAAATATGATTGCTATATTTTTATTTGAAAAAAATTGATTAAAATTCATTTTGAGCCAAATGACTTTTATGATAGTAATATAATGTATAGTTCATAGTTATAATACGAAAGTTTTAATTAGATAGCTTCTCAAATATCTCTCATTCAGGCCTCATCACAATCTTTCTAGAGCATCTCTTTTTGAGCTCGAGTGATCCCTTTGTCAAAAAGCTTCATTGTGAAACCCTTCAAATAATTAGAATGTTAGTGTTCATAACTTTTGGTGTATAGGCTAAATGCAATCATCGCTCCTTCCAACATAGATAAACCTAGATTATCATAGGAAGGAGGTGAAAGGAAAAACATAGGTTAAAAAATGAATAAGGTTTGAACCTTACCAAGTGTTTGGTCCTTATTCAAATGAGGTTTGAACGTCTATTTCTAACATAGGTTCTATGGATGCAAAACTAGGTTTAGAGAAGGATCAAATAAAGTATGAAGTTGTGATATGTATTTTAAACTCAAACCTTATTAAAATTTGTTCACACTGTAAACCTCTAGAATATAGCTCAAACAAACTTGGAATAAGGTTCAAATATCAAATTAATAGATCAAATCATGTTGGAATTATATTCAAACCATGTTTGAAACCTATTTGAAAATATTCAGACTACTCCAATGAGATTTGAATCAAATTTGAACCTTATTCAAACCATCTCCTCTACTCTTTCAAATTCCCTTATACTTAAACATAATCCAATGGGTGGGCTGAAGTTATAGAAGGAAACAATAATGATACTTGAGGATAAAATAAGATTAAAGAAAAATATGCCTCCCATAACTTTATCCCATCCACAAGATTATGTTTGTGCATATAATAATTTGAAAAAAAGCAAAGGGGATGATTCAAACAATATTCAAACTTTGTTTGAACTAGTTTCAAATATAGTATAAACATTAAACATGAGGTTCAAAGTTATTTTTTTGAACCGAGGGTTCTCCTCCATCAATTTCCTATTTATAACTTAAGAATAACTCTGTTGGAAGAGCGACGACTGCAGTCTGACATATATAACAAAATAGATACTAGTACTAACCCTTGATTGTTTTAAATGGCTTCTGATGATCTAATTTAGACTCCAACAAGTGCATTATCATAGTTGTATTACAATTTGATGTAATTTTATTTGAAATGAAAGATTGGCCATGAGTTTGTAATGATCTATCAATTAATTTTGTTTAATTTAAAATATTAAAGATAAGTTTATTTAATATAAGTCTTGGGATAATGTAATGAAGAATTATTAGTTCATGTGATATTATAATTAAGTGTTATATTAATTACTAGAGCAGTAGAATTAGGTGTAATAATAGTTAGTGACCTATTTTGTGCTGTAATGTTTATTCCTATAATGGCATTTTAATCCTTGCTTACTTTGAAAATTGTTGAGATGCTTTGTAGGAAATAGTTTTGGCAATCACGATCTACATAATTTTTTAGTTTTGCTAATAATAGCACCATCTCCATGACTACTAAAAAAAAATATTTGAGAAAATCTATTTGCAAAATACAAAGAGACTAATTTCTTTTATACACATTCCCAATCATGCATTTTATGATTATGTTTTACATTCATAATAGATTCTCAAACCCTTCATATTGAGGCAAGGGAAAAAATAATTAAAAATAATGCAAAATATTCTGAAAAGGTGAATCACAACCATTCTTCAAAATAATACGAATAAGGTGATTATGTGTTAATTTTATAGGTCCAAAGAGACATTTATCCTCAAAATGCAAGAAAATTGCATGCTAGGACCTCTAGCCTATTCAAAATTATTAGAAAACTTAGATTGAATGCATACAATCTTAATTTATCATATGATAAGTTAACTAGTTTAACTATTAATGTCGAGAATATTATTACAAACAAAGGAGTTAGCTAATCTTCAAGTTATACAACAAATCTTTGGACGAGAGATTTATTCAACCGATTGTAAGTATCCTCACTAACAAATATCTTAGAAGTAGAATCCATCATTATAAAAAAATTCTATAAACTAAGCTGACGTCACAAATTTTTAATTAAATTAATGAATAAGCCACCAATTAAATATACATAAGTCACAATGATGACTTAGAGAAGTTGGCACCATGACTATTCGAAGAATACCTAGAATAACTCTATAGATTGAAGTTCCAATGGGTATGGGTGAATTGATGTAGAACATCAAACAAACTATTACGGCCCCACCACTAGATCATGATAAAAAATACATGATGAGACTATAGGTTATGATGGCCCTATAACAAGATTAAGATCAAAGGTTCAAATCAATGACCACGAAATCATCATCAACTATGCATGATTAAAAAAAGTCCTAATATAAAACAAATAAAATTATAACAATGATTAGATTTTAAGAATTCATATTTTCTACTTTTAAACTTTTAAATTTTCCTCCATAGGGGTGAGTGTAAGTGCATTCACCATGGTTTTAATTTAGCACTAAAGTGGTCTTGGAAGGAAGTGACCGGCCATATGGGGAGAGCATCATAGAACATTTTCACTCCACATCCTTATTTGTTTCCCTAGCATTGATTTTTCTCTCTTTTTTTTCTTTTTTTTTTTAATTTTGAACCATAAAGCCTTGTATAATAGTTTAAATATAGTTGGGATTAATGAAATAATGAGTTTTGGTGTTTGGCAAAAAAAAAAAAAAAAAACAGAGAGTGAATTATCTAGGATTGAAAGTTTAGAGGCCAACCCGCATCTCTTTCTGTTTCTTATTTGAAACCTAAATATCCTTTTTCCATTAGTTGATATCTTCCAAGCATCACTCTGCAGCATTTCCTTGAATCATTAAGCCCTAAAAAATTTTCTAAATCCCCTCTTAAAACTGTTGGCAATATTAGAGATCATCTTGACCTATTTTTTACCATTCCTCCGCCATCGCCCTTTAAATACAATGGATCTCCACCATCTACTACATATATGACCTATATACATTCTTCTAATTTTCCCATGCTTTTCTTGCCTCTTTGTAAAGCATTAAGCATTTCCACTAATACAATATTCTCAAACTAATCAAATAAGCCCAAATTAGGGTGCCTTAACCTAAGATTAGCTTTCCTCCATCTTTTGGGCCCCAAACCACTTGAAACTTCATAAAAATTTCCAAGAATATATAAATAAATTACCTTAATCTTCCTAGGCAGCTCCATGCCTTAGATCCTATGGCCAATAACATTTAACAATTAAAAAAAAAATTAAAACATGGGTGAAACAAGCTCAAGTTATGTTTGAATCTTGTTCAAATCATATTTGAGATCTATGCAAGGCCAAGGGTTGAACAAAAAGCTCAAACTTAGTTCAAACTAAGTACAATGATGGCTCAAAAATATTAAAAAAAAAAAGTTCAAACCAGGTTTGAAGAAGCATGAAACTTACAAACTTACATTACAACTTTCAAATCATATTTAAATTTTCATTTAACCTAACTTTGCACCTAATATTCAAAATATAGGTTTCAAATTGATGTACATATTTTTTCGATCAAGGATGATTGAATATTGAATATGAGATTTAAATATTATTTGTTTTGGAATCTAGTTTCTCTTTCCATTTCCTTATTGTATTAAATGATGAATGCATTATAACTTAAATAATATGAAAATTATCAACATTGACCTTCGAATGGAATATTAGTGTAGGGATAATAGTGAATTGATGTTGAAAGAGATTGTAGTAAAGCACTCTAGGATCATGATAGAGGCCATTGAAAGAGAGCATCAGATAACCTTTTACTTTTAATATTTACAACTACGAGGGATTATGTCATATCTTGCAATCTTAAGGACATTTTTTACAAAATTGAAATTTCAGCCACATTTTTTAAAATAAGAAAATAGTAAACCTATTTGACTAATTATAGATATTATATTATTGTAAAATCAAAATTTCCATTTGTTATGCATAACAATTAGCTATGTTTGAGGTATGGCTCTAAATGTTCCACCATTTTCTCATAATACCATTATGTATTATCAATATTTTTTAAGCACTTCTTGAAATTTTAATGGAAAAGTTGAATTTATATTCCAAATAATTCATGTAAAGATTTGAATTTAAGCTAATTTTATTTACAATAGAACCCTATAAACAATCCATAAGTACAATAGGAGAGAATTTCATTTTAAATAAACTTTTGAATATATTTCTTTAAGAATACAAACATATAGATATTTTTTTATTACAACTATTATGACATAAATTTAAATTTCCCTTTCTAAGAGGCTTAACTTGGATATGCATAACACATTAAAAGGGATATATCAATAAAATTAAAAGATCTATAAATCATCATATCAATAAGTTCTATGTTGTAATCTTTTTTATTGTTATTTATCTTATTTAATTTTAAGAGTCAACTACCCTAAGTTGCTTAACGATTGCCATATACTGAAGCAAACTCTACTAAATATGAAATATTTTTACATTCATACATTTGAATGGGCAGATATGAATATGAACAGGAACTGACTGCGCCAATTACCACTACATTAACACTGTGATTGGTTCGTTCTTTCCTAAGTGTCTTTTTTTTGCTGATAAGAAAAATGAAAATTTACATACATACTATTTTATACCATCCTATTTACATATCTAATACTCAAAATTTTAATATTACATACGTACCATCCTATATTATTTTAATATCAAATATGCCACTCATATTTCCTTCTTTCCGCTCATATTTTATTTCTACCACTCATATTTGATATGAAAATAAACTATGGGTAGTGTGTATGTAATATTAAAATTTTAAGTGTTAAATATATAAATAGAAAAGTATAGGATGCTATGTATGTACATTTCCTAAGAAAAATCATCGTTCGTTGCACACGTCTTGAATTGAAAGTCTAATAACGGATGACCCCGACATTGCTGAGATCTCCAAGCACTCCTGTAGGTCTTCTTCACAAGAAAGCTTGACCCAATCATAATCATCGTCTAAATACTTGATAACAAATGTGCCAATCTCCAGCATTAGCCTCTTACCAATCTCCTCATTTAGTGCTACAATGCCGGCTTCATACGCCAAGCGGAACCTTATGATGTCCTCCTTGTAACAAGCCTTTATGATGACAGTTTTTGGCTCCGAAATGGCAGTGGAAGGGGTATTTCTCGCTAATTTTGAGCTCGCTGAATCTTCAACAAGAATATCAGCAACTGCGTGTTCAGGCTCTACTATGATATTGGCTGGCGAGAAGAGAGCGACCGTATTTTGATCTTTTGCGCTCACAAACTGTTTTGAATTTCTAGAGAAAGGTTTCTCAATGCCACATGCTTCGCGACCCAGACTTGCATCATTGGAGCCTTGCGAGACGGGAGTTTTCAAGTCGCCATCGGATGAGCTTTTAGTATTTGAAGAAGTGTGGCCACCTACAGGTTCCTCCAATGCTTTAAAATGTGGAGTGCCCTCATCTCTTGCTATAGAATCGCTATCTGAATGGACAGGAAAAGAAATGGAGCCTGGTGCAACTGGAAGTGGACAGACAAGGGGGTTTAGATTGAGAGCTACCTCTGCAACCTGAACTGATTCAATAACTTGTTTGAGCTTTGAAATGGAGCGATTGACCTTGTTGATCTTGCGCGAAGGCCACCTGGAAATGCCATGCTGCCGGCAGATGCGCTTCATTGTAGTGGGGCAAACTGTTGAAGATAAGGAAATTATGGATTAGAGATGGGTTCAATTTGAGTTCATACATGCAAGACAGAAAAAGAGGCTTCCAATGACGGTAGACATGGTGCATGCTTATTTGAACAGAATAGCAAATTGGCAATCCAGTCATGATAAGCATAAATGGAAATGAATGGAACATGAATCCCTTGATTCAGTAACATATGTGGCCGAAAACAAAAGATTTATATGTTCTCAATGGAAAAATCATGGAACACATTCCTTTTTTTTTCTTCTATTCACTTTTTCTACATGATATCAGAGCAATTTCCGTAGCTCATCCTCGTATTTTCTACACTCTAACTATCCTTGAAGTCAGCAGCTGAGGGACAACCTACTCTAAGAAGATATCAAGTAATGTTGATTCTATTCTAATCAATAGTTCCACCCCATCAAAGACTTGTGGTACTCCTGTAACAAGCCAAAATTTACTGGGCTAAATTTCATCGAATGATCTAAATCATTAGATGATATTTGTTTATGTTTGTTTAAGGCATGGAAGATTATCTCACACAAACAACTTGCACACCCGATGAAAAAGATAAGTTTTGGTCTAAATTCTATGATAAATGAAATTGAAGAAAATTTCATGTAATACAAAATGAACAAAAAAAATATGGTATGCAAAAAAAAGAGACATGCTCTAATATTAGCAATACCTCCACCATATTCAAGATCAAAACACTCTTAATTACCTACAACAAGGTGATGACATCCTCACAATCAAGGTGATGACATAATCACAATATGTTTTAACTCTTCAACTCATGTTTGATAAAATAGAATGTAGGTGCCCAAAAGACAATCAGCCATACAGCAAAATAGTGGAATGGGAACATATACAAGTTCCTACTTAAGCTTCGTTTGGAATGACTTTCTTGTTGATTTTTAAAGCAGTTTTATAGTATAAAGGGGCATAAAATAAAAAAATAAAGTAAAACGATTTGCTAGGTTTAGATGGGGGCATTTAAAGAGTATTAACAAAAGTATTTTTGGGAATAAGATTTAGATCTTAAGATTTTGTCTGTGCATGAGGATGCTAATGTTATGTGGGAAAAAGTGACTAGTGATATTATCGCCTTTGATGGTTTGGTCACATAAAACGGCGGCCTTCTGATGATCTGGTTAGGAGAGTAGAGGTATTAGATTTGACTTATGTTAAGAAAGGTAGGGGTAGACCTAAAAAGACTAGGTTAGAAAAATATTAGGAATGACCTTTCTTTATTAGATTTAAACGAGAATTTGACTTTTAATAGGACACAATGGAGAAAAAGGATTCATGTAGCCGACCCCACGTAGTGGGATAAAGGCTTGATGATGATGTTGTTGTTGTTGTTGTACTAAGAAGCAACAAAAAAAGCCGTCCCAAACAAAGCCTAAGTCTAAACAAATTTTAGATGATATCCGTATGAGAATCTTCAGCTTGAAGCCTCAACGTAATATTTATAAATTTTTTTCCTGAGATTCAAAGAGAAGAAAGCAAGAGAAAGATAATCTTTGGATTGCCCAACAATGCGCAAAACTTGAATAATGGCACCTTTGCCCTTGGAACTTGTGGACCTCACTTCAACCATGACGTTGATAAACACAAGAAGAAGATACAATTCATGGTGAATACCGTCACAAGACTAGACACTAATAACAATTGTTAGAAGATACCAAAAACACCCAAATTATATACAATATAACACGAAATCAAGAAATGCATGGCAACATGGAACCACTAAAACAAAAATGTCATTTGATCTAAGTTCATTTAACAAGGAGAAAATTGAATTCCTTCAAAAATTACTCCATCAACCACCAAAGTATTAACAAACCCAATTAATAATTGGATTTGTATTCAGCTATTGCCGAGAAAGAGCAACTCTCTAAATGATCTCATTATTACATCTATAACAGTAAGGTCCTAGATTGTCTATTAGGATATTCTGATCACATGTCCAATGATGCTACAATTTTCCATGATTATAAATCATGCTCTAGAAATAACACTTGTTGAATTACAAATGGATCCCTTTATAGTTTTTGGTTTTGGATTTGACATGCTTTCAAAAGACATTGTCGGATTGTCCTTAAATTTGTACTTATATTTTAAAAGTGTATTGTAAACTTATTTAAATAAGTGAAATTATAAAAGATAATAATTAGTATCTAACTTTTTCTCAAACATAAATGAATTTTAGTTCTTGGATTCAACGATGAAAATTAGCAATGCTAAGATGGTTGTGGTTTCTGCCTCCTAAGAAAAGAAACCAAGTAGCATTCATGGAAAAAGGTGTGGTGTAATTTCATCTTTTAGCATGAATAATGAGAATGTCATCACATTATGACATCATTTAAATCGTCCAATTTTATTGCATATAAAATGATTATTTTTTAGCTTCATATAAAATTTTGTTATGTTATCAATGTAAAAATTTTCAATCATGCAAACACACTCACTACTCTTTCCCTACTCACTCATATAAACCAACACATCTTCCCCTAATCCATTGAAAATATTGCATGATACCATCGAGAATCAACAATATCACCAGCTCAAGATGGTTTGTTTCATTCATTAATGATCACTCTAGAGTTACGTGGTCTATAAAGCACAGATAATATGACAAAAATACTCCAATTTGACAAATAACTCCAAAAAAGTAAGACATAATAAATCATGGACACAATGTGCTACTTAATATATTATTAATATAAAACATCTATTTACAATACATAAAATTATTATTGTCAATTAAAGGCATCACAAAATGAAAAATAATATCATATACTTCATAGAAGAAATATCGTTAATAACAAAAGAAATGGCGTGTGCCTTTAGCCTTAATTATTAAAGCCAATAACAAAAGAAAAATAAATATTTTTAATAACATAAAGAAGCATAAGAATATAGAAATATCTAGTTTAACAAGAAAAAAAGAATAAAATCAAGAAAATTCAAAATATTAAAATTAATATTAGAGGATAGCTAAAGGCTTAAGGCCATTAGCATTAGCTAGGATACCTAAGTAGGGAAGAGATGAATGATCTCGTTGTTAGGGTTATGTTGACCCCTATACCTCAAACCACACGAGAAAAGACACAAACTGATGAATAAAGCGATATGAGCCTTGGCGCCACACGTCACTTGAAGGGTCAAACGACCTCCGATTGCCAAACGGACAATATCGTTGCGATCAGGATGTCGAATTTTGCTAGGTTGAGGCCCGTCGCAGTTGAATCAGATGAGATCAGTTAAAAGGGATGACCGACACTCGAGATTAAAGCGCAAGGCTGATCAAATGATGTCGGATCGACAAACGGACTTTGTCATTGCATTCAGAACAATGCAAATACTAAAAAATTACATTTTCTAAGCTCAATTTGGATCATCCGAATTGGTGGCATGAATCTCGGGACAAAGTACACATATCAATGAAAGAGGCCTCGAGGTTGCCCAGACGAAGTCCGATGGCGAAACGGACTTCGTCATTGTGTTTAGAACATTGCAAATACTCAAAAAATGTATTTTATTTGTTCAATTTGGATCATCCTAATGGGTGACACGAATTTCAAAACAACACACATTTCGAGAGAAATTAGCCTCGACAGTGGCGAAGTGACGTCCGATTGCAAAACAGACTGCGTTGTTGCGACCGGGACATAGGAAATGTCCTAAATGGATTACTAATTTGTTTAATTGAGATTGTGCACGCAAATCGAGACGGCCTCATGTAAAAATTATCCTCGACATTGCTCAAACGACGTCCGAACGTAAAACGGACTGCGTCGTTGTATTCGGAAAATCGAAAATACCCTAAATCCATTATTAAGTTGTCCAATTTTGATATTCAACAAAAATCGACACGCAAAACAAAACAGTTGGCACGCAAATTGAAAAAATACACGTGAAACGATGCAATTTTGAACAAATGAGGCACTGCTGTCCTCATGAATTAAAGTCTAATGACAATACACAAATGTGGCTATTAAATTAAATCTTCTTTAGCAAAGACAGATGCCAAAAGAGGAAAAAGGGTCAAATACATTAAATGCCAATCAGTATGTCACCTCACTTTGTCTAGCTCCTAGTCACTTCAGCTTTGTATAACAGCTGGCCCGTTGCTTCATCTGAACGGACACGCTCCATCTAAAGGCTCCCCAAGCAAACTCCTATCCAATTCTCTACAACTTCCACACCCAAGCTCTCATCCACAACTGATGCCTGCACTTGGAACTCCAACGCCTCCTTCAGCCATCCAGCTGAGATCTCCCCCTCTTCCTTCTCTCCGTCCCTTACAACCAGATCACGTTCAATCTCACAGAGCCGAACCAAATCTCAAGCTTCTTCAACCCTCTATTCCACGCCTACAAATGCATACAGCTCAACAAATTGCGGCTATTTTCCATGGCCTCCAGTCTTCATGCCTCCTTAAAACAGGTTCAGACGAGCAACTCCAATCACATCAAATGCTTCTTGAAGATGAACAGATGAGGCCATATCCTCAAGCTGGAAGAAACGGCCTCATATCCTCAAGCTTAAAGAAACGCTGAAGCTGCTCAATCCAGCTCCTAAGCAATTGAACTCCACTCCACTCAGCATTCAATGGAGGCCGAATACTCTGGCATTCGACAAATAGAAAGATACTCACTATTGAAGCTGCTTCGAACGCCGAATACGAGCTGAGTCACAATGCGGCTGGAATTAAAATAGAGGGAGCTGAGTGTGGCCGAACCCATGGATGTTAATAGAAATTCATTGTGCATTTCTATTGTTAATGGAGAAATTGGTGCTCTAAATAGGTGTGAAATTCCCAAAAGTGCTTCTAGAACTAACTATCAGATCACAGAACAATGCCCCAATTGATTGCAGTATAATGAATTATAATGAGAATGAGCAATTCTTATTCCCAACTGTCTCCAATGTTGGCATAAACACATCCCAACAGCAATCGTTTAAATAAGTGCTAGGAGGAAGGGACCAAGC